GACACGCGTGTGACAGGGCCAGGGTGCCACCCGGCACGTGAGAGCAGGACGGGCTGCGGTGTGACACGCGTGTGACAGGGCCAGGGTGCCACCCGACACGTGAGAGCAGGACGGACTGTGGTGTGACACGCGTGTGACAAGGACGCGGGTGACACCTGGCACTTGAGAGCAGGATGGGCCATGGTGTTGTGCGCATGTGACAGGGCCAGGGTGGCACCTGGCACACAAGAGCAGGACGGGCCGTGGTGTCGCACACGTGTGACACAGCCAGGGCAGCACATAGCACACAAAAACAGGATAGGCTGCAGTGTGACACTCGTGTGGCAGGGCCAGGGTGGCACCCGGCACGCGAGAACAGGACAGGCTGCGGTGTGACACGCGTGTGACAAGGACGCGGGTGACACCTGACACTCAAGAGCAGGACGAGCTATGGTGTCGCACACATGTGACAGGGCCAGGGTGGCACCCAGCACGCCTGAGCAGGACAGGCTGCAGTGTCACAGGCGTGTGAAAGGGCCAGGGCAGGACATGGCACACAAGAGCAGGACGGACTGCAATGTGACACGTGTGTGACAGGGTCAGGGTGGCACATGGCACAAGAAGAGCAGGATGGACTGCAGTGTCACATGTGTGTGATGGGGTGAAGGTGGCACACGGGCACAGGAAGCGACCAGCCACATTGTCCCATGTATGTGACAAGGTGAGGGTGGCACGTGGGAGCAGGAGGTGCTGTGGTGTGACACATGTGACACGGCAAGGATGGCACATGGGAGCAGAACAGACTGTGGCATGACATGTGTGACAAGGCCGAGGTTGGCACATGGGCACAGGAGTGGAACGGGCCACATTGTCACATATGTGATGAGGAGAGGGTGGGACATGGGAGCAGGACAGGCTGTGGTGTGACATAGGTGATGGAGTGAGAGTGACACACAGCACATGGGAGCAGAATGGGTTGCACTGTGACACATGTGACAAGGACAAGGGTGGCACATGGGAGTTAGACCATATTGTCACACATATGACAGGGCAAGGGTGACACATGGCATATGTCAGACAGGGTGAGGGTGGCCATGGCACTCAGGGTCTATGTAAAGGTGAGCACCCATGTGACAGCACAAGGCTGGGACCCTCCGTGTGACAGCATGGGGCTGGCACAAGGTGTTCAGGGAGGTGCCAGGCTGGAACCCTGTCATGACACAGCAAGGGTGGCATATGGCACCCAGTGGTGCCACCCACATGTGGCAAGGCAAAGGTGGGACCCTCTATGTGACAGCACCAGGGGACATTCATGTGGCCTTGCAGGGCTGGGTCACTTGTGGTGGTGCAAGGCTGGCATATGATGGCACAGGGCTGGCACATGTTCGATGGCACAGGGCTGTCACACACATGATGGCACACAGCACACATATGATGGCACAGGGCTGGCACACTCGTGTGAGGCCAGGCTGTACTCATGGGTCACTGGACCAAGCCCCCACGCCCATGTGGCTCCTGGTGCAAAGTCTGCACACAAGGACGTGTGAGCTTTGCCTGGCACCACAGGTCACAGTGACAATCATGGGGGCCGTGTCACACGGAGGGGACAGATGGGGTGTCCCCATTGTGCAGGGCCGTGTGTGCCAGGCTGTGCAAGGGGCTCCACGCAGCTCCAGGGAGGGGTTTTACTGCCATGGGGGAGCAGAGCTGAGCCCTGTGTGCAGCAGTGTCCAGCGGGGACAACGGGACAGGAGGACACGGGCATGGAGGGACATGGGGGTGGGCTCCATCAGCCACAGACACCAAGCACTGGGTGCCGAGAGCAGCATCGGGAGCTACAGCCTTACAATACGGTGTAACCTGGGAGTAGGACTGAGTGCACCCCAGCCGGGCAGCGACAGAACCGGGAAGTGTCCTGGGTGGGGTCTGGGAGCGGTGACACCGTCCTGCATCTCTATAGTGGCCGGTGATGAGCTCAGTGAGAGCATTTTGCACGTCTATAGGTGCCCGCAGGGCAAGGTGATACCGTTTGCATGTCTGTAGGTGCCCAGCTGGGCGATAAAATCAAGCCAGAGCTTCCGCCACACTCTTTCGGGTGATAATTCCCCTCTTGTGGGGACATGCGCATGCCCTGGGGTGCAGGGACATCTGCCACCCTGTCCTGAGGCATGGGGATATCTGAGTGCCCTGTGATCCTGCCCTGCCACCCTGCCCTGGGTTACAGAAACATTTTGGGGGCCCTGCCACCCTGTTCTGGGACCCGAGGGTATCTGTGTGCCTGCCCTGGGTTTTGGGGACATGCCGGGATCCTGCCACTCTGCTCTGGGATGCAGGAACATCTGGGAGCCCTTCCATCCTGCACTGCACTCTGAGGGAAGAGTACCCAGCACCACCGCAGCACCCACACCCTCCCTGTCACATCTGCTCACACCACACTGCCAGAGGGGTCCAGGGGGGTCCAGGGGACAGTGGCACCATGCCGGCTGCCATGTTCCATCTGAGGGCTGGAAGAGCAGCTGGGAGCCGGTGTCTGCTGGGGATGAGCATCCCTGTGGGACAGGAGCATCCTGAGGAGGTGCCCATAGCCCACCTGGGCATGGGTGAACCCAGGCTCTGACCTGTAGCCAGGTCCAGCAGAGCCAGATGGCACCTGGAAGGAAAACCAGTCCTTCCCCAGCAAACTGGTGTGGAATTGGTGCTGGGAACTGCTGCCATGAGATTCCAGTGTGGGCTGGGAACTTTTCCCCTGTGCTTCCTCACTTTCTCAGCTTTTTGCCATCTGGCTCTCCTGGCTGTTGTCCCCAGTTTATTAATCCCATCATTCTTTTATCCTGCTGGAGAGGAGGTGGCTCAGCCATGCTGGGGAGGTTGGGGGCCGTGGAGCTCAGCTTTGGTGCCCCTGAGTTGGTGCCATCACATCCACTTTGCTCCTGCTCTGGGATGTGGCTCCAGGGCCAGGCAAAGCCTCCTGCATTCAGTGAAGCCCTGCAAATCCTTTGGGATTGAGATGTGGCATGGAGACATCCAGTGTTTGGGCTGAAAACTGGCACCGTGGTTGGGGTCACTGCCTGTGGCCCTGTGCTCCAAAGGAAGGCAGGGAATGCACCGTGCCTGAAATGCATCCAGAGCCAGAGAGGGACATTCCCTGCAGAGGGATTTTGTACATTATTTAACACCTGGATTTCCTGACAGGTCTCTGCTTTCAGCACAGACAGGAGCTGTTTATTGGGGGCAGCTGCACAGCTCTGTGATGGGGGCTGGGATGTACCCCTGCTCCTGTCACCATGGCTGCTCCCTTATCCAGAAACTGCTCCAAGGCCGGCTCCAAACTCATCCACTCCCCTCTTTCTATCCTTTTTCTCCCCCTTAAACGTTTGTACGTGCAGAAAGCTCCATAAGCTTTTCTAAGGAAAACACTAAAATCATCAAGTCAGCAGTGCTTAAACTGCTCTGACTGCCTCTTAAATAATCAATTCATTTTTAATTAGCTTACCACAAAAATTCCATTAAATTTAAATAAATAGACATGGCAGGAGTTCTCCAAGGCACAGCGGGCTCCGTTTAAAGAATTCTCTTTGAGTTCGTTAGGTTGGTCTTTAATCAGTTTGTCGTCCAAGTCCTTGTGTGGCCCAAGCAGGCTCCTGGGCTGCTAATAAAGAGTAATGGAAGCTTCCAGGATTTCCCAGATGAATCCCGACCATCTGGCCACCATGCAAGAGTTCAGTGCTGGAAATGATGTCTCCTGGCAGGTAGTGGGGAGTGGGTCATTTTTGAAGCACCTGCCTGAATCTTTTCACTGATTTCTCTGAGTTTTACATCTGGAAGAAGCAAGGAAGGGCAATGCCCTGTTTTCTGCTGGTTCAGTGAGCTGAACTGGCCCCTGAGAGATGTGAGAATCCCTGAGACGTGGGAGCCATTCAGTCCCCGTGGCAGGCTCTGGATTTTTGCTTTTTTGCTTTCTTGGGTGTCTTGGGGGTCTAGAAGAAATCTTGGGAGGGACTTCTGACCAGAGCATGTAGTGACAGGACACAGGGAATGGTTTCCATTGCCAGAGGGCAGGGTTAGATGGGATTTTGTGAAATAATTCCTCCCTGGGAGGGTGGGCAGGCCCTGGCACAGGGTGCCCAGAGCAGCTGTGGCTGCCCCTGGATCCCTGGCAGTGTCCCAGGCCAGGCTGGACAGGGCTTGGAGCAGCCTGGGACAGTGAGAAATATCCCTGGCCATGGCACTGGTGGCTTTAAGGTCCCCCCAACCCAAACCATTCCCTGATTCTCTGCCCATTCACCCTGTGCTCTCCTGCAGCTCCTCTCAGTGCTGCACCAGGACACGCCGGGTGCTGCCAGGGTTTGAGAGGGCAATGATTTTCCAGGGATACC